CACACGTACCGCTTCCCCTCTAGCCACTAGCCCAGTAACCCTTCAAAGAAGGGCGGTTGGTTTGCCGTGATTTGTTCTTGTTAAATACATGCTGGCTATTACCTGTAACCCTGTTATCGTATAGGTGCTTACAAATTGATTGTTTAATAATTTGTTCCAGGTATCGCAATTTGCCTGTCAGGGCTATCGTTCCCGAGGTCGTCTTTGTCCCTGTTTTGAACGATAGGTACGCTGGCCTCCTCCAGTCCTCCGGCACCTCACTCTTCCTGCATGCGTTTTCAAAGATAATTGCTACAAGCTCCAAGATTGCTTCAGCTAGTTTCTTAAGTACTTAGCTGTCTTCACTAGTTCTAACTTATCTTAATCTTAATTATGGTAAGTATCTGGTCACAATTAACATTTTTCATGAAGACTGAAGCAAAAGAGGCATTAAACTCCTCAGCCTTCTTGATGTCATCTCTTATCTGCTCGTCTTTCCTGCTTAGTAGAGCACCTACACGTTCTCTTGTGCCTAATGTAGTTAGAGACCCTCTTCTTCCTGTCTTTTATGTCTCTTGCTAGGTGTAACTAATTTGTGCCTTAGCCGTTCTGATTTTGCCAATACGTGTTTGTGCTGTTGATTTGTACTCAGCAATTTGTCCATGTTTTCACTTTTTGTAGGATGCCATTTTGATTTTTAGGTCATTAAAGAACTGATGGAGTCATATTGGCCTCTTACTAGTCTGCCTAGCTCTCCTTCATAGATTCATAGATTCTAGGACTGGAAGGGACCTCGAGAGGTCATCGAGTCCAGTTCCCTGCCCGCATGGCAGGACCAAATACTGTCTAGACCATCCCTGATAGACATTTATCTAACCTACTCTTAAATATCTCCAGAGATGGAGATTCCACAACCTCCCTAGGCAATTTATTCCAGTGTTTAACCACCCTGGATAGGTGGTTGGGATAGTTTGCTGTTGTGCATTTAATATTGTCTCATTGAGAAATTGTCAATGCGTCTGAACTTTTTCCCTTATGGTTTGGTTTGATAACTACTATTTCTCCTGTCTATGCTGCCCTCTTGGTATTCTTGCAAATAGATCTGTTTTTTCCCCTCTTTTCTTTTTTGTCAAGCTGGATTGATGCCATAAAAATGAGTTAGTAGGAATCAACATAAACAAGAGGCCATCTTTCTTTCAAAAGGGAAATAACTTAGTCTTGCTCATCTGATTTAAAGTATACATATATGTAAAGAGCATTTAGAGGTTGAAATGGATAGCACAAATGTGGAATCTTGTCTGTACAAGTAAAAAGTAGTGACAGAAATCGCAGGAGGATAATGTGCTCCTAAATCAGATTTTTTCTGTGTGCCCACCAGGTTTGTAGCAGAACTAAGCCCTAAGAAAGTAGATAAACATTCTATTAGCATGGTGAGGATTATATTTAAGTCTGTCTCCTTAGACGTGACCATTCTTTGACTCTGTTTTTAATGCAGTTCAGTGGACTATGTTTAGCACTTGATGCAAAGCCTCCCAGTGACTTCAGTGGGCTTTGGCTCAAGCCCTTGTTGCTTAATCTTACTTGTGCTCATTCACAGCGTCAATGCACACATGCTGGAATATAATGATCTCACCTCACTTTTCTGTGCCACATAAGGGCTTGCAGACTTAGGGCATTAATGTGAATTTTGCCTGGTAATTTCTTAATGGGGCTCTTTCTAATAACTTCCTTAATTTCTTTACATTATAGGCACAGCTGTATCCTTTGTGGGTTTTTCCATTTTAAAACTCACTCTACAATGAGCAGCTTTTCTTGTTCCTTTCTGACATTTAATCTATAATTATCCCACACAAACACCTATTGATTTTAATGGGGCTACTTTGCTATTTATAAAGTCAAGTGACTACATTTGTTCTTGGGAGTGACGTTGCTAGTCTTTAAGTAATGTACAGTTTGAATGATCTGAAATCAAAGATAGGAGTGAAACTTTGTAAATTAGCTGGACAAACTTTTTACTATTGGCTTCTAAAAGTTTTAAAATGTTCTATTTAGTTTTTATTCAGTTATCGTCATGTGCATCAACAGATGACACAGTGATCACTATTTTAGAAGGGTGTAGTATAAATACATTCTGAGGGAAAAATAATTTTCCCCTCTGTCATAAATATTCTTAGTTATAGGGCACACCATGCCAAGTGTCACTGTATGACCAAAGATCCACAGACTTCTGATTACATTAAAAAGAGTAGGGACTGTGAAATAGATGTGTGTGTGTGTGGGGGGGATGATTTCTTTAATTCAAATGACTTTTTTGTACTCACTTTAATTTTTCTAGCATTTTTGTACAGAAATACATTTTAAGTGGCATAAAACGAGGCTTGAATGAGCTAGAAGCAGATTTCGCTAACATGACGTCAGCTCAGTAGACTGCCTTGTGACACAAACCAAGAGAGAAATCACTTGCGCACTAGGACCCTGATCCTGCAGACTTATGTACATGCTAAAGTTTACGCACTGTGAATAGTCTCAGACTCCCTTTGAAGTCAGTGAGGCTATTCATCTAAAACATCTAAGCCTTTGCAGGCCTGAGACCACGATGTTGATGTCAGTAAAACAACATCTGTGTTTTGTTGTAACACTGCAATTGGTGTAAACTTTGGTATCCAGAAGCACACCATGTGGTTGCCCACATTTTACTCGTCATATGTATTTTTAACCATTCTGTAGGCTCATTTTCAACCCAGTAGTTTGCAGATATTAAAATGTTTATGTTAGAAGTTGGAAATGTGCCATGTAGGTCCTGGAAGTTAAAAGAGAGGTTTTGTTTTTCTTTCTAAAAATCATAGAATTATTTGAACAAACTCCCATAGACACTTGTCCTTTTTACACTTCTGTCTTCTGAAATAAAAGCATAAGAAATCAATTCAGCATGTTTGAGATTTAGGGTTGATTTATACTGACTTCAATGGAGCGATGCTGATTTACCAGGTACCGCTGTTTAGACTTACCACTATTTTAAGATGAACAGTTCTGACCCATAGAAATTACAGAAGATCCTAGCAGGTCATTTTATTCCCTCTCTCCCAGGAACAGGTTAGTTGCACAGGATATTTTTAGTGTTTTCTTATACAGCATGGTCCCAGTAAAACTCTTGCCTTGCTGGTTTCAACTCTTCCAAATATGCTAATATCACGGTCTGGTGGGAAAGGCTGGGAAACTTAACCCAAAACTGGACACCATCAGATACAAATGTGGAAACAGAAAGAGAGGAGACACGTGGGTTATGCTGATTTGAGGGAAGCACGCCCAGGACTGAATAAGAGGATCAGAAATAAAAAGTTAAGCATCTCTCTGCCTTCACCTCCATAACAAGGCTGATTGAAGCAGACATGTCTGGACTTGATTGCTCAGAGGCCAGCTCACACTCTAATGGTTCTACACCACTTCTGGGCTTTCTCCCTCCCTTTCATCCACCACCCTCAACAAGCTGTTATTCTCAGGAGTGATGTCAAAAAGGAGAAGATTGATCAGAGGACAAAATTGCCAGCAATCTTTCTGATCCTTCAGGCATGGGGCAGAGTTGAGCCCAAAGATTGAGTCTGGAAGAGCCACTGGGGGTCAGCAAGGTGTTTTTTAATCATTTTTTGTTTTACATAAGAAAATAAGATTGTATTTAGCCAATAATAAAACAAAGACTTGCAAAGTTTGTGGAGCCAAAAGGAACTGACATTCTATTTGTTGAGCAGACGCCAGCTGCAGGGTACTTGGTGGTGACTGTTGCACATTCTGGACTAGTCTGTGGCCAGAGAAGATAGAGGGGAGCTGTCACTTAAGCACCAAAAAGTAAGTTGTCCAGCCAGCCAGGAGCAGTGCCCCAATCAGCACCGTGTAACTGAACAGCACGAAGGCCAGGAGCTCCTTCAGCACTTTCAGGAAGTGGACAGCGAAGGACTCCTGCATGGTTCGTCCAAGCACCACAAGCCAGATGGGATTTCTGCGGTTGTCTCACACTCTGCTCCCCACTAAAGTATCCTGATCTGAAAGGAAGAGAAATAAAGGGGAGGATGAGCCATTCTGAGCAGGCAGTTGCAGAGCTGAGGGAGAGCCTGCTAATTGCATGTAGAAAAGTCTGGATTCAGGTAGCTTCTGGTGGTATAAACAAAGTCTGTGGACACTGTAGTTTGTCAGAAGCTTTTTAATTGCCAGGGGAGAGTGTAAGGCCCGGACAGTGGCTGTGTATTTGGAAAGTCTTTTTCAGAGTTTTCAGGATGTGTAGTGCTGAAAGGGGCTGCAGGAGCTGATCACAAACCAGGTTAAGACTGGGGTGGGGTGAGAGAATGGAAGAACCAAGCAAGGTTAAAAATATACGTGGGTGGACTAGGGCAGGGGCAGGCAGTTGAGGTCCCAGTCAGTTCCTGGAATTATTCCCTTCTGTCAGTTGATATGTGGCTGGCGAGCTTTGTATTTAGAGCATTCGCCGATGGTGCATTAGTACCAACAAAAAGCTCTAATCAAAGTGGTCAATTTCTCCAGAGAAGCCACT